TTACAAAGGTAAACACTCAGACAAGCCCAATAATATCACAAAAGATAACTCCCTTCTTCTAACAACACACGGTGCACACAAGAACCAAGATTCTACTCAAGGAAATTACTCAAGATTACCACCTATAGAGAGAATATAAGAAATCAAATGAGAATTCTACAGTGATGAAAAAGAGAACACGAAACGGCACAGAGAGCACAGGAGAAAAGAGAAGAAACGGTTTCAGCTTCCCTCAACAAACACGTTTCTGGCACCAGTTTAAGAGAAACAGATTGTTGGGCTGGACTTCATTAAGTTCCAGTTGCGCTAGCTCAATAGGCCCAATGGGCATTGCATCATTGTGCCAACAAATTCATTTCAAAAATAAAAAAATCAGGGAGCGTAGAGGGATACATTTCCTTACTGGAGTTTGTTTAGCATTTCCAGTTTTCCTTTTACTCATCAATGTTGATGATGTTTGTCTTCAGCAAATGCCTGATTTTAGAGCCATGGATGCTCACTTATTCCGGTTGATTTATGTTGCTGTTTTTCTCTGGATTTCTTCTAGCTGGATGTTATTGTTGACCACGGCTTCTCTTGCATCTCTGTTCTTCTCTCTACAATTCAAGATGTTTTATCTTGAGAGGGGAGTGTTTGAATATTCCAATATTAGATCCTTCTTCTAGATTCAAGATGTTTTATCTTGAGAGGGGAGGTGTTGAATAGTCCAATATTAGATCCTTCTTCTAGATCATTCTCTTGTTTGTTATTAGATGCTTATTCTAGATCCTTCTTCTATTTGTTATGTACTTAGTTTGTTAGATTTCACTCTATAAATAGAGCATTGTATTCGCCTTTACATTTGAGCATTTGCTGAATAATAAATCTCCTTCTTCATCATGTTCCTTCAACGTGTTTATTCATATTGAATCTATCATTTTATTTCTGCTAATCTGTTCGTTTCCTGCTAGTTTCGTTTCAATTCAGTTTCTGATTTTAATTTCTAACACAAGCCACACCTACAAACCCAACCTCACCTCAAGCCAGCCCCATCACCGCTCCACCAAAAAGAGTCTCGACAGTCCCCACCACTGCTGCGTGTGTTGTTCCAACAGCAGTTGACAGAAATAAGAGTTTTTCACATTTTTTCTTCTTTGGTGAAAAATGTTCAGGACTGCCTTCGAATTCATGACAGGAGAGAGTTAATAGTGAAATAAAGTTCACCAAACAGAGAAGGTGAATACTCAAAACTTCCCTATTTTACATTGTCTCTTGGCCGTGTGCGTGTTGCGGGATTTTGGAAGGTGAGGGTGGCTGAACAAACCAATTTTGAGTGGACTTTCTTCTATGAATCTTTCTGTACTTTTTAGTG